AGCCGGATTTTATAATTGTAATAATGGTGGCATTTTCACTTTTGTTTACACTGGCCTGCATAGTGCTGAATCTGATTCTTCTCAGCGCAATGTGTTGCTGCCGTAAAGCAAGATGTGTGTATGTCCTAACATGGGTGAGTCTAGGACTCGGCATACCTGCAGGTGTGTTCTCTTAAGAATTATATTTCTGTCTAATCTTTATGTCTTTTTAAACATTGCTGTGCAATGCGTTACATAGAAATCAACTTAATAAAGGTAAAAACCGAATGTATCTGTGAGATTAAGCGCACTGTGAAATTTCTCATACAGGGAGGTACCTTCTCCTCCCCCTTTGTTTTCAGTCCTTGTGATCTTCAGGGCAGATGATGTTGAGCTCACCTGTTCCTTTGTCCCACAGTTAAAGAGGGTGTCAAAGTGGCCTGCACAAGTACCAACCGTCTTTTTTTTTTGGCCACTACTTATGCCAGGTGCCCATTATAGTTGGGTCGACTCAAAGGCCTCCTTAAAATCCCGAAATTCAAAAATCCTAACATTCCCTAGTTTTCAAAGACGAAGCCCCCTGGTTAGAAAGTCAAGAGATTTACCACTCGTGCCATGTAAATGGAGTATTTGTGCTTTGACAAGAAATGCTTAATCCTTCATTTACGTATACCACGGTGTTAAACTCACATGGAGACTAACCCATAAACAGCCAGCAAAACATTAGCTTAGACATCAGTTTACTCTTAGTCACTAGGAGAACCAGAACTTTTGAGCGAGGGGGGGGGGGGCGATTTTTTTTTTCCAACTCCTAACCCTAAGGCCTTCTAACCACTAACCCTATGTAAAAAAAAACAACAACGAGGTTCTGGGCTGCGCCTTGATGTCAGGCCTCTTCTTACATTCTTCACTGTCAGAAACGCTTTCTCCTGATATCCATGGCTCATTATTCATCCTATTAAAAGAGGTAGGTCGAATTTAGTAAAATAAAGCAACGTGGGGGCAATGGCCGATACTGAAGTGTGAGTAACTATTGAGATACAAGTATTGTAAATATTAATCGTAATATTTCCTTCATGTTAAGCGAGACCTCTAAAAAGCCTGTTTTGATCAGCATAAAAATTCAACTTCAATTGAAATATATTCTAATAAGAATGTATAGGCCCTTACTACAACCGATTTGTTCCTTGAAAAGAAAAGATACCAACAAGATACTATAAAAGTTGATTTAGATGAAGGCTTTTGAGGGTCGCTGACGAAAAAAAAATTCTTTACAAAATATTATTTGTAGCGACTTTAATTTATAAATGATTAATTTAATTCAATACGCCTGTTTGTAGCTTTGTTTTGTTACAGAACTATAATTCAAAGCCCTGAATAAAAAAAGAAAATCCGGGAGGAGAAATGAAATAGATTAATCGATTGTACTTTAAATTTAAATTTTTAGGATTTAATTATAAATTGTGAGTATAAGTCCAAAAGTATCTACACAATAGAAAAAATTGCAGAATAAGTAAAGGTTGGGAAAAGGTGACTCGAAAAAATATTTGGGTTCGAGACTCTTCAATTGTTAAATCATATTCTTAAAACTTTCTCATGAATTCTAAATTATCCAAATCTAAGTCTTTTTATTTTACATAATTATGACCATTTCATGAGCAATTTTGACTCCTCTGTTTTAACAATTTTGTTGTCGTCGGGATGGGAGGGGCGGTAGAGTAAAAACTTTGTTTAAGTCCTTTCTCCATTTTATAATTATTGCTAATTATTGCATTTGACATTAGAGGATAGGGGGTGGGGACAATCATTATAAGAATTTCATATATAGCATATATAGCTTATATTTGTGACAGATGTTAAAAAGTTTGTAATTTTTCACTTAAAAGAAAAAAAAAGTATTGGTCTGACAGGGGAAGGAGGCGATTGCATCTATCGCACTTCCAACAGTTCTACCGTCTTTCCATTTATATTTACTAATGATTTAATTTCAGATTTGACTGTTTTGCGACATAATATAGAAATGGGTTCAAATATCAATAAAAAGAATATATTATATAGATATTCAACAAATTTTGTTCTCGAACTATGATTCCTACATTGGACCGCCACGTCTACTCAAAGGTTAGGGTGGGGAAGGCATTATATACAATCGTTCCCCCCCCCCCACTCCAACTGAATACCAGAAGGGGAGTGCCATAATAAAAAAAATGAACATACTATGATTTCTGCATAGTTGCATCGACCCCGCCACTTACAGTGGTTGGATGGCGAGCGATCGTTCCTACAACCTCCACATCCGCCAGTGCTTTGACAGGAATAGACCAGAACATAAATATTGTTTGGATATGTGTTGAGTGAAGTAGCTTTAAAAACCTAATCAAAACTATCACTGTAGGCGTATTTATTAACTCATCATCGTCGCCATCATCATCATCATTATCATCATCATCATCAGTTCCATGGCTTGCTCCGTAGGGGTGCTGTGATAGTTCGCATGACAAAATCCCTCCACTTTTCTCGGTCAGCAGATTTCCTAAGCAGAATGTCAATCACTGTTTCACGTTGTCCAGCCAGCTTTTCTATGGACGACCCTTTCTTCATGCTCCCTCCACTGTACCTTGAAGGATGACTTTTGACAGTGAGTCACGACTTACAATATGACCCAATCAGCTTAGTTTTCGTCTTTTAACATTAAGGGAAGCCACTCGTTTTTTTTCCAGCCAGATTGTTTACATTAAAAAGAAAATTTAGCTTTTTTTCTTTTCTGATACCAAGCAGTTTTATGTAGCATTTACTCTGAACGGCTTGAAATCTTCTTTATTTCTTTAAATTCGCTTTAAAAAGATAGATTGTTTTCGGCATGCATGAGGGCAAAAGCTCTTTCCTCTGCAACAGTGTACAGCGATTCTTTCATTGATGCTCACCGTTGTTTGTAGTATAGTCTTCCAGACTTTTGCTGGAAACTCTCAAGAACTTTTAGATAGCCTACATTCTATTTAATTTTAGACTTTGATTATTAATTTTAAAAAAAATTCATAGATTTTTTACTGCTTAATCATTTTATACGATTTCAACAACAAAATGAATAATAAACTTTTACTTCAGATCTTGTTGACTTGTTAGAATCTTTCTTTATTATTTATTTACTAAATAATTTTAATTTTAGACTCTGATTAATAATTAAAAAAAAGAGTAGATTGCAATAAATTTATGGACTGCTAAATTCTTTAAAAAATTACAAATCATAAACATTTGTTTTACAGGTGTGTTCGCTATAGTTGGATGGAGTTTTGACATTTTAGCTCGTAATCGCCACACGTACCAACCAATTGGCCCTGGCACCCGCCTGGCTCTGCTTGTAGTATCCAGCGTTTTCTTAATCATTGCTGCAGGATTGAACGGAGGAATCAGAAGATCGAACGTGAACGATCTTAGCCCTGACAGGGAATTGGTTGCGAACATTAAGAAGACAAAAGAGCAGACATCTTCTTAAAGAAAATGCATTTTCAAAAAGAACTTTTAAATGGCGAACTTCTTTAAAAAAATGAAGCCAAAAACACATTAATATTGAGAAATATATTTGATCCAATATGATGTTAACATAAGTAAAAAAAAAGTATTTTAGAATTGAATTGAAAATACATCAAATTTATTTTAGTAACAAGTATTTTTATTTAGATACGAGCAGATACACGTTATGCGCTACGGTTGAAGTAACATAACATAGAGTAGGCGCAAACACTTCCAAGGCCCAACAGTTGCAGTTTTCTCGTCTGCCTACAATATAAAGTCTTACTTTTTATTGAAAACTTTACTCAAATGTTAACAAATGTAATATATTAGTATGTTTATAGTAGTAGTATGTAGAAAAATCGGTTGCGCTCGGGTGATTTACTTATGTAATTAATTTTTTCCACTTCAGTTGAAAAAAAAATCAAGTGATTTTATATCGATAAGAGCTTATTTTCTTTATTGAAATATAGTTTTCAAAGATTTGCTATTGCGTTTGTGTAATGTTTTGATGTGTTTATGAATTACTTACACTTTTAAGGTAAAACTACTTCTTTATGTAGGCTATATCAGTTTTGTCTGTCTGTCTGTCAGGTAAAAGCTGAAAACGTTATTTCGTTACATCCATTCTTGGATCAAGTTGAAACTTTGAACAATTATTCATTCGTAAAGCCGAAACATGAATCAATAAAATACAACAACAAACAATTAGTCAATTGTCAATACTGGTTATCAATTTATTTTGTTTGATACTAACAAGCGAAAGTAATTCTTCAGTATTGACAGATACGGCTAAATAAGAAGTATTTAGATACTTAAACACGTTATGTGTCTCACACCCGTCAAGTTGAAACATTAAATAATTATTTAATGTACTTTACAAAAATATGAATCTTTTAAAAATTAATCAATTAGTAAATTAAATATTCTGTTTGGTATCGAATACGAGAAATAAGTTCTATATTGAGAGATGTAGTGATAACTGCCGAGTTTTTTCCCTTAGATAAGCTTTGTTTTTTAAATTTTGATATAAGACAAACACATTGTAATTAGGCGTTGAGTCCCAATGAATTACATATATATTTTTATCTTCATTGTACAAGCTTTTTGTTTTCTTAAATTTACCATTAAGTATTTGCAGTGTGGCCTCAATATATAATAATAATAAAATAAAGAATACCATGAGGAGAAGTGCATCCCTCCCTAACTGTGGTTTAATTTTTTTGGACACATCCAGCGCCTGAACTAGCCAGAAAAACCAGTGACTTGGCAGAATTTAAGTCATTGGTTAAAATGCATGACTAGATGCATAACGCGTAGGACATAACCATCTTCTTTTTTGAAGTAACGTCTGTATTTTATAAGATAGACATAACCGTTGTCTTCCCGCTGTCTACGTTTTGACTTCCCGCTGTCTACGTTTTGACTTCCCGCTGTCTACGTTTAGTCTTCCCGCTGTCTACGTTTTGTTTTCCCGCTGTCTACGTTTTTGTCTTCCCGCTGTGTACGTGTTGTCTTCTCGCTGTCTACGTTTTGTCTTCCCAGTTGTTTTGGACTAAAATGTGTACCACGCTGCCGTTACCAGAAATCTCCAGATCTATCGCAGGAACGCCGCCTGCTGTCCTGTGCTCTCTTTATATAACATTTATAAATATTAACAACTTATATAATAATATAACTCTTTCATACTATATGTTCAAATAAAAGAAAACAATCCTGTTTTATTCCTGATTGAAAAATAAAGTGCTCAAAACAAGAAAATCGTTAAAAATGCTTTTTTCCCCTTCTGAAAGTCACTACGTCCTTAATACAACGTATAAAGCTATAGTTAATAACTCATAAATGTTAGATAATAAAACAAAAAACAAAAAAAGAAATTTCTTGGCAAACAGTTAGAGCCGGTTACGAGATTTCTGTTCAGGTTCCTCTCACCCATCCAGAAGTTTTCACTAAGTTACAAGTTCGCGTTATTAACATGAAGCTCAAACAATTTAGAAGCCAACAATACTACTAGGTGCAAATTTTAGCTCTAAATTAATTACACTTTTTTTTACAGTACCTTTATTCAATTCGTAGCGTCGTGGAAATAAAAACATCGTTGGAAACTTCTGATTAGGTGGACTCGATTCTTGTAAGCTCAAACGATTTTCCAAGTAATTTGACAGTCGAAAAGAATTTCTAGCTCGTTGACCAGATTGGGAAAACCGTTCTATTTTTTTCAAGTAAATAAAGAAATGAATTATAATTTGGCTAGAGAACAAGAAAATATATATCTTGAACGGACTAAATGTCTTCGGGTATTTCCGCTTTCATTCAAGATTTAAATAAATTTATGTTCAGGAACACTTTACACATCATCTTCTAAATCTAGATCTAAAGGACTATCAATAGAGTATTACAAAGTCTAGTAGATTTGTGCATTCGCTGAATATGGATTATTTATTAAGGGGGGGGGGGGAGGAGGGATGGGACGGGTATGTAACTATGTCTAGAATAAAAAATTCATTCGTTATTAAGATAAAAAAATAAGTCCTCTATAAGTTGTATTGTTTTTACACATCTTTTTTTCTTGTTTAAAATGTATTTTTGTATTAGTTTTAAGTTGTTCTTTTGACAATGAAGAAAGTGTGAGCTGATATTAGAAATTAGAAAAGAACTTTCAGTTGAGCTTAGATCAGTGTCCTTCCTAAGCTCTTTTAACCTCCCCTTTTTTAAAAATTCCTTGTGTTGATTATGTACCTTACACGAAGACATTTCGAAAATCTTAAAATTGTTCTGATATGTTTAGGCACATGGGTTAGTTACGCGTAAAGTACCAAATGCTTATTAAGGTCGTTATTTTTTGCAAGAAGTGCTAATAGGTATAAGCTATCCGCTGCATTTAAAATACTTTCAAAGACATGCGTATCAAATTTAACTCTTGGTTTTCGCGTGTGGCTCAGATATTTAGTCCGACGAATTCGTTATCACGGACAAAAGGGCCCAAAGGCGAGTAATTGGAGCCTAAACCAGTAAGCTTCGGGCAGGAGTGGCTCTACAGCCTTGGATGCCTACCAACCAAGGAGCAAAAACTTTCTGAATTCAATCCTCTGCTATCTTGCAGCTCTATCCAAACAAAGGAGAGACTGAGGAAAAATTAGGAGCTGGCGACCTTCGGCCATTTGCACTTGCAGAGCCTGCGACGCTGCTAATCCCAAAAATGTATCCACACTCGCAGTTCTTTATATCCATTACCACTTCTGGCAAAAAAAAACAAAAACGAGTTGCAGCAAACGTCCACAATTGTTAGAAGAAACAAAAAAAAGCGACGCGTCTGTCATCCTTATTTGTAACAGGTCATGTAAGTCATTTCCTCTCAATGCTATTGAAAGACTTAAAATAGTGTATAAATCCCTTCAATGCCTTCATTCAAATGCTTATATTCTTACTGCAAAAAAATTTCATAAATTTTGGTAAGAAAAACTGAACGCCAAGTAAACCTACTAGCTGCGCGGAGAGTGCGGAACTAAGGTGGTTGACATTTTCCTGACAATAGCCCATGTTTTCATCTCATTTTTATTAGATGACACATAGTCGTCTAGCCATAAATATATTTCTCAGGAATATTTAAATTGTTATTTCCAAGCTATTCAAATGAAAACAATAGTTATTGCATAGTAATTTATAGAAAACAAAAACACAATTAACGTAAAGACATTTATTAATTTTTATAATAGCATACATTAACTCTTTCCTAACTGACGATACCAGCGTTGATTCCACCAGAATGTGGTAAATAATTACGGAGAGAAAGAGTTAAAGACATAAAAAGCTATGTAATGCCAATTTACCACCACCCCATTTCGTAATCTTATGTACGTGTGTCAAAAATCTCTCTATTGGCTCTAGAATATGGATTGTTTTATATTCTGATTAATTGAGAAAAAAAAACGATTTCAAACTAATAATTTAATTTGAAAACATGAAGAAAAAAAGCAACAACTACAAAATTACAAAGAGAATGTGCTATCAGACAAACTCACCATGAGCAAGGAATATTTATCTACTTGTTTTAATTGTAATACAAATTCAAAAAATCATTTTGCGTAGTTTTCCACTTAAAAAACAAAACTGAACAACAAATCAGAGGCGTTATTTCAAAGAATTATTGATGTTGTTTCAACTTAAAAACAAACTGAACAATCAATTATAGATATTGAGATGTCTGACATATTTTTTTTGTCCAGAAGAAGAAATTAGCTTTTCAAGAGCTTTTCTAGATTTTCGATCTTAATGTGACAGCCCGACAGAAAGACAACACAAAACTATTAAGGACTTTTCATCTTAGAGGACGCTGCTAAAAATACAGATTATTTGGGACTTTTTGGAGACTACCATAGCACAACGTGTACACGGAGGGCAGGGTACTGCATGGGCCACTCTGTAATTAGTTTTGGACCTTAAAAATGGATGGCGGCCTGGTCGTGCGGTTTGCGCGCTGGACTGTCGTTCGGATTTATCTATGGTCGAGGGTTCAAATCCTGCCCGCTTCCATCCCCCGTCGTCCTGCGGGAGGTTAGGACTAGGAAGTAAACTATCTTCAACTCTGAAGGAACATCCGAAACATGTAGAACATTTTACAAACAAACAAAACAAAACTGACGTTCACCGCTTCTACTGAGTGTAGTATCATTAAAATATATTTTGTGCCCATTGTTAAGTAGACTATTACCAATATATTTGCTTCCTCTAAAGTTTTTCATTGAAAAAAAAAAGTGTTGTATTTTAATGAAAGACTACACACACATTTAATTAAAAAAAATAAAACTGTTAACTTTCAGAAAGCATTAAAGGAGTCATTGCGCCGAACATTAAATGATCTAAAGTATCATGATATCGGATTTTTAATATCTGACGGACGAATGGATGGAAAGACAGGTCACACTAAACTTCCTGGGACAGTTAAGATCAATTCCTAACTTAGCATTCATATAGACACAAAGACGAAAAGCTCGAATGGAGATAGAACCTACGTCGTTTGCGTTATTAGCAAAATGCTTTAATTTAGCTAACTAGCCATATTACATTGATCAAACATAAATAGAAACAGACTATAATATAATATTAAAATGTACATGTATGGAAAATTAAAAGGTTGTTACTTTTCTTCTTTTATCCACATAGGTAAATCTTTTAAAATATGAAATTCATTCAATAATTAATGGCTCGATTGTATAAACAATAGTGATGATTTTAACTTGTTATTTATGTTTTGGACTATGTAAAAAGACTGAGACTAAAAATAGGAAAAAAAAATCATATAGTATTTAGTTGTCTTAAAAAATAGGCCTCTATAGAGAATGTACATAACATTGTTTTACTACACTGATCTCAGAGTGTGTTATATAGTATCGGCAGATCACTCTTTCTCCATGTCACATTCTCTCTACATATTAATACTATAAATACATAAAAATAAATAAATGAATAAAAATGTATATATATTTGGATCCATAGACAAGGGGAGTGGAGCATTTCATGTGACCAAGCAGTTCGTTGATCAACCTATTTTAATACATGGCGTTCCTTTAGATTTACCTTTACCTACCTCCTAGTCTGTTCGACCATTTCGGCACTATGCAAGATTCAACGACAGTCTTTGACATTCCTTTCTGACTTTTGCCTTAGTTAGAACCTCTTTCAATTGCAGGCCCGTCTGCTCTTTTATGTTGTTCTCCCATCGCTTTTCTTTATATATCAACTGTTTATCCCGCGACAATAATATCCAGCTGTTTCTTTTAATAGTTTTTTGTCTTTTTAAAAGTAAGTCTCGTTTTCCTTTCTCCAAAGACGATCTGAGTCAATTGCATCCATCCTCCATTTCAGTAACTTTATTATACGAATTTTCAAATCGACCAAAGGAGTTTGAGACGAATCTAGTAGCCAGCTTTTTTTAAAGTTTCAGATTTGAAAAACTAATTGTCATGTTTAAAAATCAAAGTGATTTGCGTATTCAAAAGATTCTGACTTTCTATCTAAAATGGTTAAAATAATTTTTATACTAATAACCATCGTCATATAAATGCTCCATTCCTTGGAATATAAAACTGAAAGAAATGTTGTCTGCATCTTTCGTTAGAATCTGGAGTTCGGCTCGTTTCTTTTCGATGAATCTCATCTTGTTTTTTCAAGTTGTCAAACTTTTCTTTCAATTCAGCCATTTGTTTCTCATTTAAAGTTGCATGTTCTATGAATATCATGCTAATTTCGTCAGCGAATGTATGTATGTATATATATTGTTTTCTATTGTCTATGTATTTTTATATTGTCTATATATAACACGAATCTATAAAGAAATATACTCAATTAGTTAATTAATTATTGGTAATTGGTAATTAATTATTTTGTTTACCGAATTAAGGAAATAATTTGCAGATATAGCTTTAAGGAGGGAATTCTTCCCCTTAAAAAATATGTTGTTAAATGGATGAAAATTGTAGCAAAAACAATTCAAGAACTTTTTTTTATTACAAAGTTTAATTAAACTCTTTCTTTCGTTCTATCTGTGTGTCTATCTGGCCAAAAGTTTGTACACGCTAGTTCTCCGACACTCAATCTTGGATCAAGCTGATATTTCGCACAATTATTTCTTTTACCTGACAACACAAGAGTCGAAAAATAAAACTAGTGAATTATAAATTACTTTGGTATCTCAAACAAGGGGAAGAAATACTACTTCATTGAAGGGGTGGTATAAGTCTGTAAAATGCTTTCCATGTTTTGGATGTTCCTTCAGAGTTGAATATAATTTACTTC